TTCCTTACCTCGATTTCGCCCATTATGCCCTACCCTGCTTCCTTTCAAATGAAGAAGCAAGTGAAGAATAAGAGAGGAAGAGAGGAGATGGAGGAAGGAGGCGTGGAAAAGGACAAAGCGATTCTCTCCGTCTCATCAGCGGCGGCTGCCAATGACTTTCCCCTTCGCTTAATCTCGCTCTCTCTCTCTCTCTCTCTCTCTCTCTCTCTCTCTCTCTCTCTCTCTCTCTCTCTCTCTCTCTCTCTCTCTCTCTCTTACTTTCTCTCCTTCTTTCGGTCTTGCTTTTTTGGCTCTTGTTCTCCTTCTACCATTCTCGCATTCGCTCTCTCTTTCTTAGGGATCCCTGGACCTTACGCCTGAGGGTTGAGAGAGGCTTCTAGAAAGTACAAACCTCAAGGTCCCTCACTTTAGGGTCTCCTGGCGGTCAATAAAGCCATCAGTTTTCATCCGGTTGTGGGGCTTGTAGCTTTTTTGTGGACAGTGCCGGGCAACATGCATCACCTTCGCTTGTGCAATGGTTTGGCTAGTCGGGCGGGAAAAATACTCTACGTCAGATGCTTCGGCACTGCAGACAGGGATCCTAAACCCCCTAAACCTCACAATAACAAATATCAATAAGTAGTATTCACGCATTACCCCTGAAATAATACATGCCTTGAAAATGTAGGCAAATCCCGTACAAAATTTCCCAAAATCACACAATAATACATATCATACAGCTCAACGAATAAAGATAGTTTTGACTCACTAACCCTACGGCCTTTCTAGCTCCTTATAAAAATCAGACTAAAAAAGATTAAGAAAAAGGAAAAAGGCTTAGCCCTAAACCCTACAACCTAGCCCTTGACCCTAGACCCTAAACCCCTAAACACCACCATAACAAATATCAATAAGTAGCAATATCAATAAGTAGCATTCCTAAACATATTTCGAAAACAATACATGCCCTGAAAATCCACGATTTCGTGTTTTCCAAAGCTCTGGCGAGCCCTCTACGGCTGCTCAAAGTGTAGGGTTTAGGGCCTCCCCTATATATACCCCTATGTGTACCCCTATGGGTTTTTAAAGAGATGCCCCGAAACCCTATAGGGTTTGTTTAAGGTTTCTAATCCCTACGCCTTCCAGTCCTATAGGGTTTATTGTTCAACCATAAACCTCAAACTGGTCATTTAGCCAACAAGAATGTTTCACAGTAATTTCGTTCGAGAACCTGTCCTAACTTGGAGGGTAGATGGTTGTTATTCCGTTTTGCGGGGCATTCGCATGCATGGTGCATGAACTCGCACGCACGGGGCATGAACTTAAAAAATGAAGTATCTGCTCACAGTATTCTCGTGATACCGTGTCCGAATGTTTCATGATCTTTTGAAAAAGCAACCCATCCCAAGAATAGGTTCCCACGGCGTCCTCTCCCCTAGAGCTTAGGGGTAGGTCTTTGGGGTTCAGTGCGAAATCACATGCGGTGTAGTCTCTCTGTTTCACCTCTAGGGAGGTAGGTAGGCTCTTGTTCTATTATCTTTCTTGTTTTCGGGCTTAGGGTTTAGGGTTGGGGCTTTGAAGCAGTCTTCAGAGGAACGTAATGGCCATATTCGAGAACTCTGTGAATCGTAGCAGTAGTATATGAAAACAAAGAAAAAGGTCAAATCATACATAAAGGTTCCTGCCTCATATATGTATATATGTATATATGTATATATGTATATATGCATATATGCATATATGTATATATGTATATATGTATATATGTATATATGTATATATGTATATACATATATATGTATATATGTATATATGTATATATGTATATATGTATATATGTATATATGTATATATGTATATATGTATATATGTATATATGTTATGTATATATGTATATATGTATATATGTTATGTATATATGTATATATGTATATATGTATATATGTATATATGTATATATGTATATATGTATATATGTATATATGTATATATGTATATATGTATATATGTATATATGTATATATGTATATATGTATATATGTGTATACATACATATATATATGCTTATATGTGTGTGTGTGTGTTTATCAGCACGTTCCGTTGTATTGCATACCCCTTCCCGGGAGGCCGCCCCGGCCTCCCGCAACTCAGCGACCACGTTGGCCGGGCCAGCTGGCAGCGCGCTGCGCAAGGCAATATCGAAGATTGTCGGAGTTTGGGGTGCGTTGGCGGCTTTGCGGGGTTGGATTTTCTTGCTCAGGTTGTGGTTTCTGATTTCTAGGGTTCGCGGGCTGAGGAGAGCACAAGCAAAGCGACCTGGCAATACCACCTGCCCTCAACCCTAGAATCCCTAGTTGCTGTGAAGTAGCTCAGGCAAACCTATATGGCACCAAGTCGGAACTTTGCTGCTGTCAAGCTTCCCGCATGCGCTTTAGGATATCCCAGGCCCTTGAAAGCGGTGGACCCTCTTCCTGTTCGGGATGACTAGAATTGAGTCGTCTTGCAGGGCACGGTGCCGTGACTCGGGGCAAGCGCCTCCCAGCCGACGCTGAGACTCAAGGCACCAGCAGCATTCTAAGGGAGTGCCGGAGTGTCTGGGGCATGGGCGGCTTCACGGTTCGCGCATTTTGGTCGAGTTCCGGTGCGGTGTCTGATGGCTTCAAAGGCACGTCACCGGCTGGAGAAGAGGAGATGCAAAGTGACCTGGCAACGCTGACCCAGAACGGAAGGATTGGTACTGATGTTCTTGACCTCAACTGTCACTGTTTCTTCCGCGTCTCAGGTTTGTGGCGGGGTTTAATCGTGCAGGAAGGTCCAGTTCCTTTCTGAAGCTTCTTGAGTCTTAACGTAAGTCATTTCACTTCATTCCATATCTTAATACCGTTAAGCCCCTGTCTACACTTCTAACCTCTCTGCATTTCTTCGTTCTCCGATGGTGACGCGAGCCAAGGTGAATCTCCTGGAGAAGAATTTGCGAATCCTAAGGTGGTGCATGACTTCGACAAATTGCGCAGCAGAGAATAAGTGTCCTGAAAGGTGTGGCTTCGATCGAATTTACGATCAACGGTGTCAAAGCTACACCAGACTCCACTGAGTCGCGGCTTTTGGGGTTGCGCAGTCGATAGCTGCTGGCACCCTCAGCTGAAACAGTTGCACGTGTGCTGGGTTGAGATTGAGGGAGCTAACCTAAGTCATGGTATGCAGCTGGCAACATGCATCGACAGGCACTGGCTGAGGCAGCCACCCCCCCAAATCCGAGGCAATCCCGGTTCAATGATGCCAGTGCAACATCGGAGAAGCCAGCCGTCCATAAACTTAAGCATGGAGAGCCTGCCCAAGCCCAGAACCCTAAACCCTAAACCCTAAACCCTAAACCCTAAACCCTAAACCCTAAACCCTAAACCCTAAACCCTAAACCCTAAACCCTAAACCCTAAAACCCTAAATCCTAAACCCAGAAATGAGACAAGTCGGACAAGCCGGCGATCCGGGCCCTAAACCCCCAATGGCCCAAAGCCCCAAACCCTGCGCCCTGCACCATGGCGCCTAAATCGGCTTTTCAAGTAGGCCATGAGGCTTGCAGGGTTCTAGGCTCTCCCTTTCTCCCTTAGTTGGTTTCAAGTGTTTTTTTTGTTCGGGGGGCTTCACCCTTCCAGGTTCGACGTTCAGGGATTTAGGGGTTTCAGGGGTTTCAGGGATGCGGTGTCCCGCCGGCTCGTGGTTGCCAGCCTTTGCCGGTTTTTTTTTCGGCTCACAGGATCATCCCACCGAACCTCTTTTTTCATGTTGGCCTTGCGCCTGCGCCTTGACACAGGCATGACCTGCTCAGCCTGCTCTCATCCACGATGTACGGAGTTAGGGCCATTGAGGGCTTAGGGTTTTTAAGGGTTTTTAGTATTTTAAGGGTTTTAAGGGTTTTAAGGGTTTTAAGGGTTTTAAGGGTTTTAAGGGTTTTTTGCTAGCCGGCTCGTTGGCTTAGTGAAACGTTCGCACTGCTCAGCTCGCGATGGCGCCCTGGGCCGTGCTGGCAGCCGTCTTCGTCGGCCTTTGGCCGGCAGCGGCCTGCGAACTGGACAAGGCCTAAACCCTAAACCCTACACCCTAAACTCTAAATCCTAATCCCCAAACCCTAAACCCTAGACCGGGATTTCGCGCTCTTAAAAGTCTTAAGCCCGAACGCCCCTGCGATCCGAAGGCCAACTCACGGGGCCCAAAGGGTTGAGGGCATCTGGAAAGATTGGAGTCTCCAACTTCTAAGCATCCGAACCCTAAACCTCAAGCTCTAAACCCCCAACCCTAAACCCCAAACCCCAAACCCTCAATCCCCAACCCTAAGCCCCAAACCCCAGACCCCAAACCCTAGCCCGGCGCTTTGTCGGCCCCGCAATGCCCCAGAATCCCAAGCCCTGTAAGCGTTGTTAGAGCCCCGAAGCCTCCCCCAAGCCCCAAAGCCCACTTAAAGACCCTAAGCGCGAAGTATCCGACCTTCCCGAAACCCTTGGATGCTTGAAGCTTTCTTCTGGAAAGCCCAGACCCAGCCCTAAGCCCTAAGCCCTAAGCCCTAAGGCCTAAGCCCTAAGCCTAAGCACTAAGCACTAAGCACTAAGCACTAAGCACTAAACACTAAGCACTAAGCACTAAGCACTAAGCACTAAGCACTAAGCACTCAGCACTCAGCACTCAGCACTAAGCACTAAGCACTAAGCACTAAGCACTAAGCACTAAGCACTAAGCACTAAGCACTAAGCACTAAGCACTAAGCACTAAGCACTAAGCACTAAGCACTAAGCACTAAGCACTAAGCCTTAAGCTCTGAGCCCTAAGCCCTAAGCCCTTAGCCCCAGAAGCCCTTAGCCCTAAAATCCCTAAGCCCTAAAAGCCCTAAGCCCTGAAAGCCCTAAGCCCTGAAAGCCCCAAGCCCTCCACCCGAAATCACATTGGGGCCCAGTCTTAACATTTATATTAGGAACCCTATTGCAATTTAAGGTCTCTTCCTTAACTAAGGAATATACCTTAGCCTTTATATTCGGAACCCTATGACAATTTAAGGTCTCTTCCTTAATGAAGGTCTCTTCCTTAACCCAGGAATATCCCTGAACGTCTATATTGGGAACCCTAATATGACTTAAGGTCTCTTCCTTAATTGAAGGGGTGGGGGGGTTTAGGGTTTAGTGTTTAGGGTTTAGGGTTTAGGGTTTAGGGTTTGGGGCCCAGTGGCCTTCCAGGACGAGGGCGATGCGGCCGAGTGCACCACGGGCTTCTTGCAGTCGGGCCGCGGGCTTGGCAGGTTGAGGGCTTTTCGGGTTTTTAGGGTTTAGGGTTTAGGGTTTGGGGTTTAGGGTTTAGGGTTGAGGGTTTAGGGTTGAGGGTTTAGGGTTTGGGGTTTAGGGTTTGGGGTTTAGGGTTTGGAGTTGGTTTGGAGCGTAGGGTTTCTGGTATGAGGGCTTAAAGGTTTTAGGTTTTCGGGCTGTTTAGGGTATTCTGGCTTTTGGGCTTCGGATTCCGTACGAGTTGCGCGGTACTTGGTGCTACGCCGAGCTGCAGGGTTTATGTGGGACATGGGGTTCAGGGTTCAGGGTTTAGGGTTCAGGGTTCTTTAGTACAGGCAGAGGCAACTCCAGCATTGGTACCCCGCGACCATGTTAAGGTTCCTTGTTGAAGCTGCTGGGTGGGGGGGCAGTGGGATTTTGCAGATGCTCAGGGTTTGCGGGCTTAAGATTTCGGGAGTTTGGGGTGTCTCGGTGGCGTCTTTTTTCTTCCGGGCCACAGCCAGCCCACAAATCCTTAGTACCCTAAATCCCAAACCCAAGAACGGGTTGGCGGATTTAGGGACAGGATGGAGATAGGAGGTAGGGGGTTAAGAGTTGAAGCGTTTAGAGGTTCTCGGGTTTTCGGCCCGGGAACCCTAAACCCTAAACCCTAAACCCTAAACCCTAAACCCTAAACCCTAAACCCTAAACCCTAAACCCTAAACCCTAAACCCTAAACCCTAAACCCTAAACCCTAAACCCCAGACCCTAAACCCTAATCCTTGAACCATCCCTAAACCCCTCTTTTGGGGGCGATTTCAGACGTTTGCGCTGGGGATTCTTCGGGGCCGTGTAGAGTTTCGGGCCTCTGGTGGTGCGGGTTTTAGGGGCTTTGGGGGCTGCTTGGGGCTTCTCCTGAGAAGTCTACCTTCCACTGCCAAAAGCAGGGTTTGGGGATTATAGGGTTTAGGGTTTAGGGTTTAGGGTTTAGGGTTAGGGTTTAGGGTTTAGGGTTTCGGGGGTTGAAAGGGCTCCCTTTCTCCCAGGGCCAGAGCCCGATATTTCAAACCCTGCACCTGAATGCCACGGAGGCATCCACCTTCAAGTGCGGATGCAGCACGAGGTTGGGGGGTTTAGGGTTTAGGGTTTAGGGTTTAGGGTTTAATGTTGGACCTGCTTTATTAGGGGGGGTCGCTTTAAAGTCAATTTGGCGGAATTATTCAGGACCCCCTCACTGTTTGAGGGGTCCGCTTTAAAGTCAAACCGTCCGGGCGCCGTAAGAAAATTCCACGTGGCACGCCTTTAAAAAAGATAACCGGGCATCGCTGCCCCTTTTAAACCTATCTAAACTCCTCCCTATTGAAATCATATAAGCCCCCGGAGCCCGTTATTCAGGACCCAATCCACGCCCCGACTGTTCAGGGGGGAGGGGGGGGGGGGGGGCCACCCACATTAAAGCAGGTCCCACATTAGGGTTTAGGGGAGCGGGCCCTAAGCTCGAATCTTGAACCCTAATTCTTGTATCCGTAGATGTAGGGTCACAGGGTTTAGGGTTTAGGGTTTCCGGTTTAAACCCCAAAACCTTTCAAAATTGGAAGTCTGAACCCTAAACCCTAAACCCTAAACCCTAAACCCTAAACCCTAAACCCTAGACCCTAGACCCTAAACCCTAAACCCTAAACCCTAAACCCTAAACCCTAAACCCTAAACCCTAGGTTAGGATTTGGGTTTCGCCTCTAGGGCTTCCAGGCATTCCAGGGACTGGGATTCCGACAACAGTCGGAGACCTTCTTAGGGTTTAGGGTTTAGGGTTTAGGGTTTAGGGTTTAGGGTTTAGGGTTTAGGGTTTAGGGTTTACCCTTTAGAAGAGTTCAGGACGGCACGTTTTGGGTTCGGGGCTTAGGGTCTTGGGTCAGGCCTGGAACATAGACATAGAAGGTTTGAAGCAGAAGGTGAACAAAAACAGTAGTGTTTTCGGGACAAAACCAGTGACAAAGACGGTCAACACCGGCACAGCCGATAAATCCCCGGAAGCAAAAGTCTACAGTTCCTAGGCCCCCCCCCAATGGGAAGTGAGCCCCACGGGATTTTCAGCACTATAGACCCTCAAATCCTAAAGTCTAGCCTTTGCGGGTTGAGGGCTTCGTATGCTTTCGGGTCGGGGGCCATGAGGTACCGAATTCCCTCATTCCCCACCTAAGAGCTAGGCAGACAGTTTCTACAACCCTAAACCCTAAACCCTAATAAACCCTAAACCCTAAACCCTAAAACCC